AAAAAAGTTTTAGATAGAAGCGCTGTGCATTCGCACTTATAGTAAAATTTATATATAAAAAAAAATTTTTTATCCAGGTAACTGGCAGATTGCCTATTAATTACTGTCACAAGCCAGTAACTCGGGACCCATGCTTATGCTATGTTTCGTCATACTCTCATGACTCCTATATAGGTTGTGCGACATATTACTTACTAGCTATCTTTATTTTTGTACTACTAGAGTGCTTGCTTCTATGCTTTTTGGGGTTTCTTTTAGCCGGTTTTTCTTGTTTTATTGCACCAGAGGTGTTCTATATTTGGTAAAGCTATCCTCTTACCACAGCCCCTTACTATGTTCACCGCTTCTCTCACCACTTCTGGAAATACCACATACAGCCATCCTCCCAATCAAGATCCCAATACCGTTTTAGGGTTGTTAATGCTACCTTGCTAATCGTGAATTCACACGCACAGCCTTCTGCAGTAAACCTTTTATGACCCATGTCATATTGGGGTTCTACATCAGCTATGTAAATCAAACCTATATCAGGTCCACTTAATTTTTCATTATTAAAAGATTTTTAATGATCTCATCGATCAAAAGTATATTATATAAATTAAATATAGAAATAGCCTATACTTCTTTTAGATACACAGATCGAATTTCTTTCTCTTTCGAAGTTTTTTTAAAACCAATCGTTTTTTATGCAACATATTTACAAAGTTATGAAGTAATTTTTTATACAAGTTTATAAAACATTGGTTCAAAATCCATTATTTCTATTTTTCAGTATAAAACAGTATTAAACAGCATTAAAATTTTAAATTTAAACCGAATTGTAAGTTTTTTTTCTATTTAATTATAAAAAACAGCTTCATAACTTTATTCATAGAGACTTAATTTTAATTTCTACAAAATATTACTTTGAATTACGGTAAAGTTAAAGCTGAGCATCTATTTTTAGCAATGGGTATATCATATAAGCATCGATCTCAACTGAAGAATTGTAATAAAATTCGATTAGAAAAGCAGCATAACAAGACGATGATTAATAATATAAATCAGTGTTTGGATACAATAGATTCTAATCAACTTCAATACATTCTAAATACTATACAAAGTACTTTAACTATGAGTGAAGATAATTCACAACCTGTAATTGAAAGTAATAATAATCAGCATAATTGAACAAATGAAGATCCCGATTATTCAAAATAATTTTTATGATCAAACAATTACCCGCAGTTTATAACTGACAATGTAATAAATATCGCTGTAATAAAAATTATATAATTAATCTATTATCATTATACGTTTGATTAGTAAAAAATCTTTAATAATAAAATTTATAATAGGACCTGATATAGGTTTGATTTACATAACTGACGTAGAACTCCAATGTCACATGCAGTACCTAGTCTTCTCCATGGCTCGGGGCTCTTTCCAAGAATTCTTTATAGGCTAAATATATACATCACATGGTCTTACCACTACAGGGTTTCGCATTCGAAAGCTCCCGAAGGTTACAGAGATAATTAATTAAATTAATTACCACCAGCTATAATCGAACCATCAACCTTGTCTGTGGAGGGTTAGATGCCTAGACCACTAGGCTATGAGACCCTAACCCTATAAGTAGTTACTTTAATATTAAAAAAATAATAATAATAGTGGCTTTAGGGTCTTAGATTTCTTTTTATATTTTTTCTTTTTCAGAATCTGTGTTTCTTTTTTGTTTGTTTTTCTTTTTTGGTCATTTTCGTAGTTTCTTAGTTTAAACTTTTCTCTCTTTTATTTTGTACTCCTTGAGAAGAAGAAAAAATTAGAAGGGAAAAGAGGTCCTAAGGTAGGAGCTGAGCCCAGACTATACTATATCTTTAAATGTGCTATGCCGTATGTGAGGTATAGTGGCAATCATCAGTGTGATAACCAAAGTTGAGCATCTTTAAGAGATAGCCGGCTTTAGTCTATTTATGCATTAAGTAGTTTAGTCTTGTATTGAACATCAAACCTTAATAAAGTTTTAGTACACAGTTATTAAAGGAAAAAAAAAAAACAAAAAAAAATATAAATAAATTGTTTTTTCCAATTTTGTAAGAAATTTTGATTAAATTTAATAAAGATAAGAGCAAGGTCTTATCATTAATATTAAAATAATAATAATAATAATAAATAAATTAACTGCTTTTTTATTAGTTAGAATTAGAATTAAAGTTTATAGAATTAGGGTGTGGAAGATAGTGCTACAAATTAAAAATTGCAACTAATCGAAAAGTTGACAACTAATTGATTAAAAAATTTTTGGCAACTCATATTAAAATAAAATAAAAATCAAACAAAAATCAAATAAAATCAAATAATCGAAAAGTTACAACTAATCAATTGCAAAATTTGTAATACTAGTAAAAAAAAAGAGCTTTATAGTAAAATTTTGCAAAAAATTTTTTTTGTTATAAAGCAAAAAACAGTTTCATATATGAAATTTTGAGTTATAATAACTTTTGTCAAAATAAACATTTGTTTTAAATCTCTCTAATCATGTTACATTATACATAATCTTAAAATTTTATTGGCCTATCATTAAGATGTAATGTACAAGTACATAACAGAAGTGTGATACCTATTTAACACCTTTATATTTTTATTAATTTTTATTTTTATTTTTGAATATTATATTTTCTTTATTAAAGAGTCTGAGTACACTTTGGCAATAAATAAAATATTAGATTTTTAGTTTATTTTATTTTTTATATATTTTTATACTTTTATATTTTTATTAATTTTTTTTTTTTGATATTTTACTTTCAACTCTTCCCAACAATCACTTGGACCAAATTTTCTGACAAAAAAAGCCTATTTTCGATACTGGAGAGTAGTAACCTGTAGTGAGGTAACTTCAACAGGGTGGTTTTTATAAAGGTCAACTTTTTGCTATTTTGGGGACTTATTTATATATTTGACATACAAGCCAAAAGCATTTGTATACAAAATAACTGGCAGAAGATGATGCTCGCATATACAAAATTTTGGTGGATAGATTGAGGTGATAGAAGTCCAAGCTTTCCGTCAATGAAGCTATCGGTTGCAAAACAACTGGGAACAGTAAAGAATGAGCTTCCTTTAAGCCACACTTCTTTTTTCTGACCAAGTGGTTCTTACTACCCTTTTTTCGTTGCCCTGCCTTTCTTCCAAAATTTTTCGACAAAAAGTGGAGATTTTGCTTACCTCCTACAAAAGATCGGCATTGTTTACTTCCCAAATTCGAACAGTCTAGTAGAATGCAACCATGTGTTTGTTTATGGACAGATATGGTGCTACTTTACGGGACTTGGCCCCAGGAACTCTAATTATAGCTGCAGATGGCTTAAGATACAGGTCCTCGGATAGCAGTAGCATCTGGCTAGAGATATGAATTGGAACGGGCAACAGAGCTATCCGAAGTCGGTAGGAGGGTCAGAAAGTAAACTTTAATGTTAAGGCAAAGCTTTACAATAAAGATATACAAATGTTGTATTTGTTATATAATTTTTACTAACCATGTACAGGTTATAATAGTGCCTTTAGGGTTTTAGATTTCTTTTTATGTTTTTTCTTTTTCAAAATCTGTATTTCTTTTTTCTTTTCTTTGTTTGTTTTTCTTTTTTAGTCATTTTTATAGTCTCTTAGTTTAAACTTTTCCCTCTTTTGTCTCGTGCCCCTTGAGAAGAAGGAAGAATTGGAAGAGAAAAAAGGTCCTGAGGTGGGAGCTGAGCCCAGGCTATACTATATCTTTAAATGTGGCTACTGTGTGTAGAGTATAGTGGCCAATATCAGTGTGATAATCAAGATTGGGCATCTGTAGTAGACAGCTGGCCTTTGTCTAATTACCTTGTTGAATTGCCTAAGCATGTATTTGTGATAAAGCATTAAAAATTTAATAAACCTTTTA